TTAAATTTGGTTGAATATTTAGTGCTATAGGATGTAGAGCATCTTCATTTTTCAGAGTTGATACAATTCTGATTTTTATAAACTATTTGTTTACATTAACCTATTTATTGGGGGTACAGCATCTCATAGAGGATGTGTAAAGGTCAGAGGACAGTTTTCAGGAATTGGTTCTTTCCTTCCACCATGTGGGGTGGAAGGATCAAACTCAGGCTTAGTCTAAATGCTTTTACCTACTTAGCCATCTTGACAACCCCGTTTTTTTTGTTTTTGTTTTTTTAATTTTATTTTAATTTCAGGGTTTTTTTTGTTTTTATTTTTGTTTTTTGTTTTTTTATCTTTCGAGACAGGGTTTCTGTGTGGCTTTGAAGGCTGTCCTGGAACTTGTTCTTGTAGAACAGACTGGTCTCGAACTCACAGAGATCCGCCTGCCTCTGCCTCCCGAGTGCTGGGATTAAAGGTGTGCGCCACCACCACCCCTAGTTTTAGTTTTTCAAGATTGGGTTTCTCTGAATAGCCCTAGCTGTCCTGGAACTCACTTTGTAGATAGGGCTGGCTTTAAACCCAGAGATTCTCCCAAGTGCTGGGATTAAAGGTGTGAGTCACCATGCCAGGCAAGATTTAATTATTGTATTATTGTGTTTTTTGTGTTGTTGTTGGGGTGGTGTTGGGGGGGTGGGTAACGGGGGGGGGGGGGGGGGGGGGGTGTCAGATCTCCTGGAACTAGAGGTACAGATAGTTGTGAGCTGCCATGTGGGTGCTTCACATGAATACATATTACAAGATAGCAGAAGTTTGGTTAAAGGGGTTTCAGAAATTGTTAAATTCTGTCAGAATCCGAAATCAAAATTCTTTTAATGATTTTTTTAAACAAAACTCAAGCCAGCAAACCAAAGTTTATAAAAGAGGAAAAATAGGCAATGAATGAGTGGTGGCTCACATCTTTAATCCCAGCACCCAGGGCAGAGGCAGGCTGATCTCTCTAAGCTTGAGATTTGCTTGGTCTACTAGCAAGCTCCAGACCAGCTGAGGCTATATAGTAAAACCTTGTCTCAAAAAAGAAGAAAGAAAGAAATCAATTACTATAATTCAATCCAAAGATGTACCAATTTGATACATACATGCTGAGGAATGATGATAGGAAAAATATTTAAAATCTTTGCTACTCATTATGAAACAATTGTGTTTCTGTAAGAGCAGTTGTGTTTCAGCTAGTGATGAAAATACATACAGAGTCTCAAATTGAGCTGAGGTGTTTCAGGCAACCGTTGTTGGCACTGTGATATGAGAACGCAAAACACAAGGAAGTACCAAGTGCACACAGTGTTATGTTCAGGGCCAAGGTTCTAATAAAGTACCCAGAACCACAGGTGAACCCTGCCCAAAACACCTCAGATTCATTGTCCATTAGATTCAGATTGTTGAACATTCAGAAACTTTTACTATTGCCAGATT